ACTCGACTGCATCCTGACGCCATTTTCCACTCTGGAGGCTCCTCGCACCGGCTCAAAGGCCCGGCCGCACCAAAGCAAACAGAGCGACGACCGGTCGCGTGCCGCGCCCGCCCCCCGCCGACAGGTGGCGTGCGTGTGATAAAGCGCCATCCCGGAAAACACGGCGCCGCAGCGGCGCGAAGAATATCCCGGATGCCGCTACGCCTGCACCACTTGGCGGCGCAAAACGGCGCGGGTTTTCCGGCGCGCGCTGTTCTGAACATGCGCCCGGCGTAATGTCCAATGAAGACCCGCAGTTGCGCAGCGCAGGGGCCACTCAGGCACACCTTCTTGGGACCAAGGATGACTGTCTCTCGTCCCTGTCGCTGAGGAATGGGCTGATGGCGGCGCCGAATACCGTGCGTGCAACGTCCGCATGCGGCGCTGTTTCGCATAGTCCGAACGTTCGTTAGCGCTGTCGCGCTTGAAGAGTAATACACGCCGCGCCAATCAAGCTTGGAGCGACCGCAGGCCATGCCGCGCCTTGCCTCGATACTCAGGCGCGCGTGCCCGTGGGAGCGGTCGTGGCCCGCTCCGCGCCCTGCCTCAGGTACTCGAGCGCACGCGCCGCTGGGCGTCGGCCCGTTTTTCCTGCCGCACTCGGAGCACAAGTGCGGGGCTCTCGAGGTATTCGCGGCGCTTGTCGGACGCAGTGCCCACACGGGGTCCGGTCCGGCACCCGATGTAAGGAGCTCGGGAAAGGCCTCCGAGGTGCGCGTGAAACGCTCTGTGCCGTGCTTCGCGCTCGCTTCGACTGCTCGGCAACGAGTGCCCAACAAGCAACGGCTCTATTCTCGGCTAAGGCTAAGGGTCAAGAGTAACCGAACTATCTGCGACGGCGTTGGCACCTGCTGGTGCGATGTTTAAACGTTTTCTTGGAACAGTACCTAGGTTCATTGAACAGCTGATAGCAGGCTTGCAGCTCCAGCGAAGCAGGTGCTTATCAGGCTTCCCGTCAACAAAGAGCAGCTTCCTCTTGGAATCTACCACGGCTGCGATTGCGAGTTGATTCAGGGACGGTGGGTGTCGGCATTCAAGCTAGCAGATCCTGGTTTGGGCCGATGGGAGCTCTGCTTACCAAGTATTGGGCGTGATATGCATAGCAGATTCCCCGCTGCAGCTACGTCGAGCAAGTCAGCAACCCATCAACCAGTCAGTGGCCTGGCATTCCAAGCAAGTCTGTGAGTTTGATCACGATTTACGGGAACCGGCCAGCTGCGCGAGCAGACAACAGCTGCGGCGTGAGCGCGTTATCAACTCGGCCGTGAAGACGTGCGGAGGCGTGAGACAAACGCCATCTGTCACGCATCAAACGCTGCCTCAGGCCCTAACTTGCCTATAAACAGCTCGGGATGGCGGCGTTACCGAACAAGCCACGCAAAACAGCCCGTAAAATATCGCCGCCTGATCGCTCCTGCCTGCTGAAACATGCGTCCGGCCGCTGCAGCGGTGGCCGGAGACAAATTGAGCCGGTCCGGTCCAGGGTCAGATGTCGCCCGCCTCCGGCAGATTGGCTCCAGTCGAGCGGCCATCCTTCGCCAGCCGGGCCGCGTCGGGCGGCCGCGTCGCCAGAAGCATCGCGCCGATCTGTCGCCGACAGAATTAACGACTAAATCGGCCCACTTTATTACCACGATGGCTGCCCGGGCCCGATTGTATCACAAGTGGTGACAGCGGCGGTCGGCCGCGCTGGGGACCTCTTTACGTCCGCCAGGCCGCGTGTGGGCCGGCGCCGCGCTGGTGCTCTGAGGCGCCCGGTTAGCCAGCACCGCGCTGGTGCTCTGAAGCGCCCGATTAGCCAGCACCGCGCTGGTGCTCTCAGACGCCCGGTTAGCCAGCACCGCGCTGGAGCTCTGAGACGCCCGGTTAGCCAGCACCGCGCTGCTGCTCTGAGGCGCCCGGTTAGCCAGCACCGCGCTGGAGCTCTAAGGCTGCAGTCGGCCAGCGCCGCACCGGCGCTCTGAGGCTCCTGGTTAGCCGATTAGCCGGCGCCGGCTGGCGCTCTGAGGCTCTCGGTGAGCCGGCGCCGCGCCGTGCCTACCGCGGCCACTGAGCCCCGGGAGCGCCCGGCGCCGGCGGCTACAGCGCCGCATTCGGCGCCGACACGACCGCGTGGCTGCTCGTGCCCTCCGGTGTCCCAAATAGAGCGCCCCACATCAAACAGACGGAGGCGCGCCGGATTTCGCAAACGATGATGACGGCAGTCAAAGTTCGTCCGCCTCTCCGAGTGCGCGCTGGCAGGAACGGGAGGCGAATACATAAACGGGAGAATTTTCGCCACGCTCCGGGTCCTAAATAACAGGCGAGGCCCTGGCATTTGCATTTCAGGCCACAAACCGACATGTGATGAAAAGTGTGAGGGCAGGGACTGAATCACAAGTCTTTGCAAAGCGTCTAGATTTGAAAAAGATGAATGGCAGTTCGTGGAAATTCAATACATTTTTCACGTAGATAAGAGCATAAGGCTTATATTGAAAGGTGTTTCGACGTTATAGCACAATGTAAGCCTGGCCGTGGTCACAAATTGGTTTTCCAAGAGGTTCTAATCGAAGTGCAACACTATGACAATGATATATGCAAGCAGGGACAATGAAATTGTCATAAGCAAATGAGATACTCATAACGTAATGCGGGTAACGTCGCAACGTTGCATCACACACGTACCAGCTTTTTTGAACATCTTGTTGGTGCAGTCCACATGAGACATGGGCATCGTATTTACAAATGTTACAAATCACACGAAAATCGCATTTACAAATGTTGCAAATATCAAGAACAGCCTCATCTATTCACTCCTTTACTGACGTATAGATAAGTCAGTGCGCAACATAGAAAATACTAATTCTTAATAAGTGCAACGGGGATTACCTACCTGAAACAATTCCCCACACAGAAAATGCTCCGCATTAGTATGCGGTTTTGAGCCGAAGTAGCCATCTTGAAGATCATTCGGTGTAGTTTACAGTTCTGCCCTTCCTTAAAATATAAAACCCTAAGTTTCTGAGCTATACGCCAGCAGAGATGTGCAAACTGTTTCGTGCAGATTATTTCGGGGT